TGCGAGTGCAAGCGCACGGCTCCCCCCCCGCGAGCCCAGGCAGGCACGGGGACACGGAGCGGGGTCGGAGCACAGCGTCTCCCGCTTCTCCTTGCCTACTGTCGGGCTTAACGTTATTTTTTCCCCCAGCAGAAAGGGGAAAGGACTTGGGAATTAGCCAAGGAGTTGGGGCCTGCAGTGACCGGCGCGGGACGAGCTCGCCCCCTTCCCTTGCCGCGTCTCAGCCCCCGGGCCATGCCCCAGCCTCCCGGCTGTGCACCGAGAGCCGTCAGGGCTGGGTGCTGTGCAAACCCCAACCCCGGCATTAATGGCAGTGTTTTCATTCTTGTTTTGATCAGGTTTCACCTTAGACATGTATGAGCAAGTACTTAGCAAGAAAAGGTGAAGGTGGCTGTGCAGCAACTATTTTCCAAGGGCAGAGGCTAATAGAAACCCCAATGCAGCAGTGCATGCTCAGCACCCCAAGGGGGAGAGGCTCCACTCCAGGCACCCTCCAAAGGCACCCTCCAAAGGCACCAACACCACGGCCCACGCAGGGGAGCCCCCCGCTTCCCACCACCCGGGTCCTCCCCGTGCCCGCCACCCCGCCGTGAGCGAGAAAAGGAGCTAAAAGAGCTACGTACAGCTCCAAAGCCAAAGCTCACCATTGGCGACCGGCCGTAGGCAGCGGCGGCGGCGGCGGCAGCGCTCATCTGCGGAGGGATGTTGTGGAGCCCGGCATAGGCGCCGGGGCTGGTCAGGGAGCCGTTCATCTCGTGGTGCCCCATCATGGCGAAGGGAGCAGCGTACGAGCCCCCGATGGAGATGGGCGTCCTCAGGGCCGAGGCTGCGGACAAGGCAGGGACACGGTCACGGGTGGGACACCGATGACATCTGGCACTGCGGCCAGGGGAACGGCTCTGGGGTACCACGTGGCTCCGGCCGGGTCCCGCTCATCCCAAAGGAGGGGATGCAAACGCTGCGGCTGTGCCTCCCTCCTTATCCCTTAGGTGGTGATGGGGACAGCCTGAGCCACCTGCATCCTCGTCCTGAGCTAGACTACGCCCCCCGATCCCAGAGCTGCTGTGTTCCCCACGGAGGGCATGCCCCAAGGCTGTGCTGGGGCCACCGGCAGAGCTGCGGTGCTGGGATCCCCAGGGCACTGGGAACCCCACAGCACTGGGATCCCCGCGGTACCCACCGGCCATGCCTGTGGCCTGCCCGGGCCTCGGCGGGAGGCCCGGAGTCGTACTCGTCCCCGGGGTCGGAGCGTCGTTCCTCGGCGTGGGAGTGTTCGACTTGAGCCCGGGTGTCGATGATTTGTCATTCTGGCCAGAGAGAGAAGAAAACAGGAGATGA